AGCCACTCTTGTGTCACAGGGGATGGAGAGTTTGGCAATAAAGGCAGAAAACAAAGTAGACTCAGGTGCCTACGAGGTTATTAAACAGATTAAACATTTTGATGGTGCCAAATGGGTAACTGGAAACTCTTCCCTGCCTGGACTTCACTGCTCACAGTGACAGGTCCCTTGTCCAGACTGATGTCCCCCTGGCACCCATATTGTTAGGATTAACACATCCCTTTTCTCATGGAATATGGGGCATTTGGCTCCATATTTTTTATACTTACCTTTATGCAAAGCCCAGAAAATTGGGGGATATTTTAAAAGTCATTTACTTGATGACTTTTTATTGAGTTCTGCACAGTAATGAAAAAGTAAAATAAATTTGGGAAGTGCACTGAGTTTAACCTCCTAAAATTAGCAGCACTGTTCAGGTGCTGTGCAAAATATTAAACTGTTTCACCATCCCGTTGATTGTTCAATGGCCTAAACAGACGTTTCTTATTTCATATTATAGTGAGTTTGAGAAAATAATTTTTCCTCTAAGCTACAGGCCACACGAGGGCAGTAAAGAATGTGAAAACATCGAATAAAATAAAAGCTGTCTTTTGCAACAGTCCTGAAAGGAAGGAGATAATGCCAATGACTTGTATTACTATGTTGTCTTATATTTATGTTGTGTTATATTAGTTATTTTCTGTATTAAGTTATTCTCACAGCCCGTTCATTAAGTGGTCCTGATAGTTATTTTTTCCCCATCCAAATATTTAGGGGCTTGTGTGATGGGGCAGGTGGGTGAATGGCCCTTCCCGGGGACCCGGGCATCACTATGGAAAATTGTCCCCTGTCTCCAGGGACCCTGGCACGGGGGAGGTCGGTGTCACTGAGTCATCCGGGGGGCCTGCAGCTCCGTTGATAGTTTTCCTCTTTTTGCTTTCGGCAGGAAGCTGTTTTTGAGTCTTTTTGTGCATGGCACAAGGATTTTTTTCATGCAGTGAATTATTAGCTGCCGTTGGGTGGTGGCGTTCAGCCGCAGACTCAGTCTGGTGAAGTGTTAGGTCTTGCTGGGGCTCAGGAATAGACTGTTCTTGTTTCAAATTATCAACATCCTGATAATTAAGTCGTATAAATTAAGAAATTGATAGTTCTCCACAGCAGCTATAATTACGTGGAATTGGAAATGCGATAATATAAGAAACAAGCTGCCACGGTGATGAAGAGTGTGTCAGTGAGCAGGAGGCTTTTCCCTGCAGATTTTGACTTGAAATTTATTGGATTTGTTTGCGTTATTAAAGACTTACTAATGGCTCGATCTGTCGGGTCGATGTGAATCCCCGCTGAGCTGGCAGGGCTCAGAAATCCGCTCCAGCTTTTTGTCGTGCCCCGAGACTGATATCTTTGGTTTCTTCTCTTCGCCTGCTCCCTGTGAGGTTCAGACTTGGCTGAGCCTCATCTTGCAACCGAAATCTGGGTTGTAGAGGTGAAACTTGGATGTTGCTCTTCCTCGGCTATCTCCTCACTACACATTTTATTGTTTCTTTGAGAAATATGCTACGAGCAGTGAGGAATTGCTATAATTTAGGATTATTTTAAAGAACTGGGTAAAAGGAAGCTCAACAGGAGATGGCTTCTTCCACAGGCAGGGCGTTTTGCTGGGGAAAATCCGTTGTGGTGTGAGACAGAGATGGTGCAGCGTCATACTCAACAGGAGATGGTTTCTTCCACGGGCAGGGCATTTTGCTGGGGAAAATCCGTTGTGTGAGACAGAGATGGTGCAGCGTCATGACAAGATCTCTGACCCTCGTTCCATCAAAATGGTGATTTATTTCATGATGGAGACTGGAGACAGCAGCATTCTCTGCTGCTCCAGTGTTCATTCACCATCCATGTGACCGCGTGGGCAAAGAAAAGACTCAAAAAGAACATTCACTGCAGTTGGAAATTGGGAGCAATGAGGGACAAGTATCTTCTAAATCATTTCATTTTTCTTCTTTGCTTCACACTTACCATGAGGTTTCAGAGAAGGCTATTTTTTATACATATATGAAAAGGACAGTTATTACGCTTACATTTTTGTAAAACATTTGAAAACCTTTTCACTATAAAACCGGGGATACCTTTTTCAAAAAACACGTACAGAATTCCATAAACCTCTCTACTGTAACACAATGTAACTTGCTATAATTTTTATTTTATACCATTCCATTATAAAAGCACGGTTTAAGAGATCAGGCTGGATATACAAAGTGTGTCTCATGATGGTAGAAAGGTGTGTCTCACCTTTTACCCTTTTCCAGGGTAAAAGAACTGGCCGAGATAAGGTGCGTCCAAACCAAAGGAAGTAAGATGATGTGCATGTCTTGTTTTCTTTTAAGATTAACACTTCTGCTAGCAGTGCAGACTAATTTATCTTTAACATGCTGTTTTCCTGGTTTCTTTGCTGCAAGCTGGCTCTGTTGTAACAATATTGTTGTTTTTTTAAAATCAGAGGTATCAATCCAAGCAGTCCAAAAGTACATCTCAAATGAATCCAGTGTTTGGATGCCATGGTTAACAGCAGTGAGATTTAGCATCAGGAAATAAAAAGGGGTAGATTCAAGTAGGATTGTGCTATTTGCAAGTTCAGTCATGCTAGAAAGAGCCCTTGTGCTATTTGCAAGTTCAGTCATGCTAGAAAGAGCCTAAGTGTAGTATATCATTTAGGGGAATTATTTTTATTGTGCTCCTCTCCTTGGCTGTGCTCCAGCAACAATTTTCATTTGTTGTTCTCCATCTGAGTATGAGATAAAAATTGCATCTTACATAAAAAAACAATGTCTCCCACAAGATAAGGTATACAAAAAGCTGGGAAGTGTGGGATTTTTTTCTAACAAAGCTCTCTCATCAACAAATTAATTCCTCTGTGTTTTAGAGCAAGAAATGAACACTCCTGGATTTAGGGAAGCAATTCTCTTTTATGCTATAGCGTGCAGTTCACAGAACTCTTCCCAGGTTTCCTCATCTCTGTGCATGTGTGCATGGTTCTGGTTTGCTGCCCAGGGCTTCGGAACCTTCCCGGCCTCACGGGCTCCCGCAGTGGGAACGCGGAGATGTCACCCACTGGAGTTCCCTAACAAAGCAAATGAGTCATTGCCTGGTTAAGGAACACAGGTTGGTTAGAATCATTTGAAGTAGATAACTTTTTTTTTTTTTTCCAAGGGATATATGTACGTTATCTATTTTTTGTATCTATAAAAATAACTTTTTGAATCAGTGCAAGTACTCAATAACTTCTTTATGCAAGAGATGTATGATTATGACATGTGGAAGTTAGTATCAAAAAGTGTGACCTTCAGCAAATACTGTTGATAAAGGAAAGAGCAATTATTTGATAGGTGTAAAATTATTAGCAACAATTATCCCTTTCCTGTAAGCAGTAATGTAATTAACACAACAAATACTCTTTAAAGAGTACAAAAATATGTAGTCCTTATTACAGTACGTAATTAGACAAGCCTGCGTACATATAACTGTTAACATATAAGCTGTTGACAAAATCACAGCTGTGTTTTTATTGACCATAAGAAAAAGGCAGAGTTGAAGCTTTCCTTTAATTCATCAACATGAAGGACGATTATGGATGAATCTCTGATTTCTGCTGAGTAGAGAAGCGCTCCTCAAGCTCATAAGAGATGTTTTTGTTTTGGCTGATACTTCATCATGGAATAAGTAACATGCAGATCTGCACAGTAGCTGCTTCTTGAGAGCGGGTAAAAGGTGCTGCATCTTCTGCATCTTCCAGGGCTTCATTTCCAGTGAGGTCTTACTGTCCCATCCAACTGTGCGTGGTTCACTTGGGATGTGTAAGGTCTTCAGCTTGCTTGATCTTGCTTCTGTGCCAGGAGCTGAATCTTGTTCTGGTAGCTCTGGAAATTGGTGTAAGTAGCGCTGAGAGGACTGCGCTAGCCAAGCTTTTAAGGTGGTTTTGAATATACTTTAGTTTTTATACTTGGATATTTTTTTAACATGTAAAATGATGGCAGTAGGCAACTACTGTCCTTTTGCGTTGTACTGAAAAAAGCTGTTACACTTTAATGTCAGGCATATGTCAAACACAGAGCAAATTAAAACTGTGAGAGATTATTTGCCAGTCCGATGTAATAGATATTTGGGAAAAGACATTTATGTCCCAAAGTAATGCTGTTATTAAACCTTCTTGGCTTTGCTTCTGCTGATATATGGGATGTTTGAGGGGGGAAAAAGGGGATATTATGTTGTAACCTGCATTATGTTTCGGTGAGTCTTACTTTTTTCTCTTCTGTTAACTTTGAGATTTGAAATGCAACTTACTTGAGCAATTATGTGGTGTCTCATATGAAATACTGAGACTGTTGCAACCTTCTGCAAACCAGGCTGTCTTGCCAAGACAGAACTTTTGTATGTAATATTTCCCTTCCTCGCTTTTCCAGATCAACGCTTGATTGAAAATCAAAGTTGATTGTAATGCTAGTTTGAAAGTGGCCATATTCATCTGCATTAATTCCCATATGTTGTTTTTATTTTAATGGAGGTTGTTTTTCCTAATGCATGTCAAAGACTTCCTAACTCTTGCTATGCAGACTGACTTTATATATAACATTTTAAAAGCGAATATAGTAAAGATACTGTTTATATCCTCAAGTACTATGTTGGTTATAGCATGACATTTTTAAAGAGCACTTCTCGTATTTCAAAACAAAAACACCAGATAAGCCTGCTTTTGGCATGAAAATAAGTGATGTTTCTTTTCCTTTGGCTTTGGTTTTGGCTTTGGTTTTTGCTCTGCTAACCAGATAAGCACATCTGCTTTTATCTGGTTATCCATGAACACAGTTGTCCCCTTTGGTTCACTCAACGATGTCAAAAGTAGTGCTGGAATGAGGCTCCGAGCTCGCGCCTGCCGCTCGCTCGCGCAGCCTTCCTGCCGGGAATGGCTCCGCGCGGCCGCCCTCCTCACCGCCCTGTCTCTGTGTGTGTCCGTGTGTCCGTGTGTCCTCCAGAAAGCCAAACTGGGGCCCGCTGGTAACAAAGTCATTACTCCAACAGAAGACAGGGTGTCGAGCGTGCCCTCCAACAACCTGGACAGGGTGAAGCTCACCGACTTCAACTTCCTCATGGTGCTCGGGAAGGGGAGCTTTGGAAAAGTAAGGATTCGGGATAAGTATTCCACTTGCATTCTTTTTTTTTTTTTCCTTGGGAAATAATGCATGACAAGTGCTCTTTGGAAGAAGCAAATTGCATTGGGATGTGCATTCCTGAGGGAGAGTTTTTTCTGGAAGGCAGAGCAGGGGATCCCTGGGGACCTGCAGGCTGGGTTGGGATGTGCTCCTTGCAGGTCACTCCAGCCTGCCAAGCAGGATGCAAGAAGCACTTCCCGACTTTGGGATCCTCCCGTCTAGGCAAATTCAAGTAAATTAAACCTAAGGGGTTGACATTCCCCCCAGGTCAGTTCCAGAAGCCACCCTCATTGGTGCCAGTGAATATCGGGAAACACTGACCTGAAATCCTTCCTTCCCGGGCAGCGAGCAGGATTCTCATCCTGTTGTCTGCGTGCAGGTGATGCTGGCGGACAGGAAGGAGACAGAGGAGCTCTATGCAATCAAAATACTGAAGAAGGACGTGGTGATTCAGGACGATGACGTCGAATGCACGATGGTTGAGAAACGTGTCCTAGCGCTGCAGGATAAGCCGCCTTTCCTAACACAGCTTCACTCTTGTTTCCAGACGATCGTACGTGAGCTCCGTCTCTCCTGCCTCCTTGATGTTTTCCATGCTCTATCATTGTGTATTTTATCATTCCAATGCCATTTATTATTGTCCAACCTGTATATCATAGGGCTTCCTCACGCAGGGAATGGTGAAGCTGGTGATAACCCCTGCAATTATCTTTAGCCATTAAGCCTGCTTTCATTTTAAACCTAAAACCTTAGGTTTCTAAGGTTTGTCTTCATACAGCAGTTCACGCAGACCAATGTGATAAGTTATAAATTTAATGTAAGTGTGTTCTGCCAGGCCCAGAGCCTCAGATGTGGATTCCCAGAGGTTCCTAAATATCTTAAAGGATCTGAGGGTCATACTGGTGAAGTCTTAATGGCTCTTATTATCTAACAAGGTGATTAGTCGTGAATCAACACTGATGGATCTCATCTAGTTTTCTGGCACCCATGGCAAGGCAGAAAGCGTTTCCTTCCCCATAATTACACCAAAAGGGCATTTCCTTCTATTACAGCAGTCGCTCAGGAGGGCCTGCACGCCCGCTCTGCACGGGGCAGCTCGACCATATCTTAGATCCCATGGAAAACTCCATGGGAGGCAGGTGCTTCTCAGGAGGCTTTGGGGTGTGAACCAAAACCGTTTGGAAAAAACCCAAACGTCTAGCATTTTCTGTATTCATATTAATAATTTCTTTTTGGATGATCACATACAGGAGCAATAGAGCCACATAAAGAGCTAAATGAATTATTAACAAACACCTTTGCTTCATTTGCTTCGTGTTTTTGTAAGTGTTCAGTAATTCACTCTTGGCGCTGTGAAACATTAGTATTAGCTATAAAAATGAGAAATTAGATAAGAAAAGAAATGTCATAAACTGTGTGACTGTAGAAAAACTTGATGTTTTTTCTTAGCGTTTTTAGCAACTCTTTTTTCTTTCACACTTCTGTTGCCATGGATTTTATAATGGACAATTCATATAAAAAATAAATTCTATAGTTGTGATCCAACCAATTAATCATTTTGCCCATGGCTCATCTATTGAAATCACAGCATTTAAATTTATGCAAATGTCTTAGAAAAAAGTCTCTAATCTTCCAATAACTTTTTCCAATCAATGCTCCTGAGGAAAGAGAGGGAGGAGAGGTTAAACTAAAGCATCTTAGAATTGAATCTCTTTGCCATCTGAAAAGTGGAGCAGAACTTTATTTAAATACTTCAGGATAATGATCCTATCCAAAATAAATAAAGGCAATTGAGAGGAAGCCAAAAATGTGTCTTCTGTAATTGGAAAGAAGACTAGCAATGCGTCTTGTGCACTATCTGGATCCTGTTATAACCGCAGAAAATCAGCGTGCCATAGTGTTACCACCAGAATTTTCAAATTAGGTGTCCAAAATCAGCTCTGTAAATAAAAGATACAGATTATTTGAAGGGTATAAAAGAAGTGTTTTTACTTAAGTCACTTTTGGTTATCTGAAAATTGTAATTTACACAGTTAAAGACTCAAAATCTGATACTTCTGGAAACCCTATCAATACTTTTCCTGTTGCCTTCTTTCCATAATCCAAAAAATACATCCATATTCCTAAGTAAGACTTAATGGAAGGATTGGAAGTAGTCTCAAGGCAAGAATTTTCAACCATCTTTAATTGTTTTTCACATGTACTTTAAGAGAGATGGACTTCAGACAAAACTGTTCACGACACTTCTGGGAACACCATAGACAACTAAAAACCAGTCCACTTCCATTTCCCTGTCTTTGGTTTTGCCAGAAGGTACCAACCAATCCCAAGAATCTTAACAGATTTGTAATACTGTAGCAGTGAGTTTTTTGCTGAGGAATACATAGAACGTTATGTCTAATGTATCCACGTGCTTCTTTAATGCTGTCTCCTAGGACCGTCTCTATTTTGTTATGGAGTATGTGAATGGTGGTGACCTCATGTATCACATTCAGCAAGTGGGAAAGTTTAAGGAGCCACAAGCAGTGTGAGTGTCATGTTTACACGCTTAAATCATGTCATAAGTCTTAATTAGGATTAGATTTATCGATCACACTAATAGAACCTTCCTAGGTTAAAACTGAAGTTCAGGGGAATTTAAAAATGTTATTTGGTGTTCTTATATTGCTTTTTAAAGTGAGTGTTTAAAAAATGAGTAGAACATTTCAGTCTGAAGTAAGGTTACTGGGAAAGGCAGTAGAAATAGACTCATAAAAAATGCTGGTTTACAAGATAAATCATTTCTCATTTTCGTAGTACTCGTACACAACTTAAAAGGCTTCTAACTGTAAATATTTGTGATGTTAATGAAAATTTCAGTAAGTGCTAAATAAAAACTAGCTGGTGCAACAATAGTTTTAATTTCTAATGGAACTTGCCACTGATCCATTGGCAACTAAGCTGCTCAGTGGCAACTCCTGCCAGTAGCCCCTGTTGCAGAGCCCGTGTTCCCAGCCAGCTCTGATCCCCTGTTTCAGAGCTACACTTTCTTTTTCCTTATAGTAAGCTAAAAATTAACTGTGTCTTTAAATAATCTTTAAATAATCTTCTTGCTTATCATTTGCACAGCTCCTGAGTAACCGACCCCAAACATCCATCAATATTATATGTCCTTTAACTGCATCCAGCAATTATATTTTATATGGTAATCATTTTAGTTAGGGTTATGTAATTAATCCATTAACAGACTGTAGAAGGGCATGCTATTTCTATAAATGATTTAATACCATCTGAGTTGCAATGTAAGTCAAGCTGCATCATGAATGCAGTATCAATACGTGATTAAAGATAATGGCCCATCCCGCCACAACCTGATCACTTCAGTAAACGTGCTGTGCTGCACTGCGCCGAGGTTTTCAGGTCTAGGGAGGAATTTCCTTTTTTTTCTACATTATTTTATCATCAAATACTCTAAATTAAATGTATCTATTGAAGTCCAGCTGAACTAAGGTGGCTTTTATGACATCTCTCTATAATATGTATTTAATCATCTAATCTTATCATTCTTTGCCATGATGCATTGCCTAATGTTTTGTCAGAGAAAAATCAAGAGATAGTAAGAAGTCTGATCATTATTTTTTTCATGCAGGTTCTATGCAGCCGAGATCTCAATTGGGCTGTTCTTTCTCCACAACAAAGGGATTGTTTATAGGTGAGTATAATCTGATGCAGGTCATTACTAAACTAATTTTAAGGTCCTTAAAGGTTTAATTTACTTGACTTTTCGAGCATTTATAAAAACATCTTATAAAATGCAGTCATCCTTGTGCTTTTTTGGATGTCTTGTTGTGCTGTAAACCAAGTCCTCGGCTTTGCTGGGCCGCTCTCCTGGTGTCTGTACTTAGCTGAAAGCTCCTGAAATTGTAAAACATCGTCTTGTGCATTCGTGCGTCATTTTTTATAAATATACGCGTTCCAAATCCCAATGTCAGTGTGCTCCTGTTCGTATACTGCCATCTCTTCATTAATTCTTCAGTTTCAGGGCTTCTGGTCATTCCTGTGCCCTGCCGTGGCTGCAGGGAGGTGCTGGGTCGCTTCGGGCTGCGGTGCATGTGCATCCCCCACTGCTGCTCTCACAAGTTGGCCCTGCTTGATCCTAAACATTAACATTAAATTTCCGTGGTTCTTCACAGAGATCTGAAATTAGATAACGTGATGTTGGATTCCGAAGGACACATTAAAATTGCTGATTTTGGAATGTGCAAAGAACATATGTTGAATGGGGTAACGACCAGGACCTTCTGCGGCACTCCGGACTACATCGCACCAGAGGTAAATGCGGAGCTTTTTGAGAACCTTAGAGGCTCTCAGAAGGAAATGGTCAAAACGTGAGATCAAATTTTAAGGTTTTGTTCCTAGGAGCAGCAGACTAAATAAATGGGACTACCACCTTCTGATTTCAAATTCATAGCCTGGAAGTATTTAATGTACAAGGGTTTCTGCTTTAATTTGTGAAGCTAGAGAGAGTTAGCAGATGCTGCTGAGGTTGGTGATGAGGTCAACAGAGTGGTGGTTAGGAGGAAATCCAGCTTCTTTAGTGCATCTTTCTTGGGTCCCCACAGCTGTACATACACATATATACCTGTATACATCCATATATACAGCATTGTGCAGCAAATCACAAGCTTGTCACTGGTTCTCAGCAGGGACTTGATGAGGCCTTGACATTTTTCTCCAGCGTCTCCGGCATCCTGAGCTTTCAGGAGCCCTGATTTGCTCGGCCGCCAGTTGAACCTAAGCGGCCGGATGCCGATCCGAGAAGCGCCGTGTCGGGAGGCATCGCTGTCTGCAACAGCTCTGGCTGCAGCCAGATGCTTGTTGGAACAGGAGATTTACACATGGACAAGTAAATTAGGGTCTGAGGCAAATTCTGTCATCTCTGTGAAACTGGAATGAAAAATAGTTAGGGTTTGGGTTTTTTTCTTTTTTTTTTCAGTTGCTAATTCATGCTTTCCAGAATGAAATATTATATATTAAAAGAACCTGTGTTTTTCACAAATTGCTTCTGCTTGCAACAAGATGTCAGAGCCCTGAGAGCAATAATGCATTTTTCCCTGTCAAAATACAAATGAATAACAAATTATAAAGTGGCCTTTCTGTGGCAATAGGCTTGTGCCAATTAACATCCAGGAACGGGTACTCAGTGCTCAGAACGATCCATGTGGGTCAATGTCGGAATGATTTATTTCACTTTACTTGGAAATTTCACGTAAAGAAATAAACCTTTTACCAAAACACTAGATAACAGGGAGGAAATTACCCTTTGTTTATATTATCTTTCAGGCAGATTTTCTTTTATTTAGATGGCTGATTTGCTTTAGTTTGTGAAGACATTACTGTGACTGAGAAATTACTAAATTAGGCTGCGTGATAAACTTCAAAGTAAGGAACATGTTTTGCCTGCAGGAGCATTTCGGCATATTTTTGTGGGCTAGAATTTGTAATGGATTATAATGAGTGAGCGCCGGGAGGAGCAGGGGCCGCTTCGGAGAGAGGGATCTGGAATAGCCCAAACCTCTGAGCCTGGCAAAAGGAACGAAATAAAATCTCTGTTTCTCAAAAGCAGCAAGTGACCCAGGGTTCAGGACACTGTAAAATGCTGCGTCCCTTTCTCAATGGTTGCCTGGGTCAACATTTTTTATTCCGTAACACACTGCATTTAACCTTCTCCCTCCATCCCTGTGGAGTTTGGGGCATGTGGGAAGGTTGAGCTGGTGGCATCGCAGTGTGACCGTGTCTGGGGTCAGAGTGATTAGTTAGTGCATATTCACTGAGAGACTGAGCTTGAACATGAACATTTATGGTCCTTGTGGTGTAATATCCCTGAAATCGGTGAATACCTCATGTCTTCTTGGGGAGAGGGAGACAGAGGGACCAGATACCCAGAAGCTTCATGAGTACCAAATCTAGGGATATTACACAAGCCAGGAAAGGGCACTTTTTACTGTTTCTTGTGCCAGTTATATTTATTTCTTTTAATAACTGCGCTTTAAGTTTTTCAGCAGACCTAAGACATGCTCACAGAGGACTTTGCCTCTTGCCTCTGGGATGTAATCCTTTCATCCCAAGCGGCTTCCAGCCGCGAGCTGCAAGGATCCAAACTTTCCTACAAATTGCTGGTATTAATCTGTGTGTCCTGCTCTAAACTCTGCCTTCCTCGGGGGCAGAGAGAGCAGCAGCGCTCGGCACCCCTCTGCCCAGCCGATGGGATGCGGGAAGCTCCCCTGGGCTCTTCCCGAGCGCCCGAATCGCAGAATCCAGGGAGGCAGAGCTCTGAAAATACCCTCAGAGGTGGGCAACGGGGGAGTTTCAAATGCAGGAGGTGCAGAAGGCAATAGTCTGTGTTAGTGATGGAGAAGGAGGGAAAGGGAAGGTCAGCTGCTGCTCTGCCCGTGCAGGGAGATGTTTATTCCCTAATTATCCTGCTATTTATTTCCTGATATCCCAAGTTGTGCTTGCAGATGGGATTGCTCTGTCTTCCACCATCACAGGACAACGTTTCTGCAGCGTTTCCCCAAGTCTGACCACATGTGAGGTTAAATGTAGGAATGTTTCTCCAGTTCATCCTGTCTCCCCGATTCTGCCTGATGTTCCCCCACCAAGGCAGAGCTAATGGGGGCAGATCGCGGGTGCTGATGAGGCTGCTGTCAGGAGCAGCCCGATTGCGGCCTGCCTGTTGCTAGTTAAACAAACAGTGTCATTAAGCCGCAGCTCTGTTACCACTTTCATTTTATGACATTACATTATCATATTAAAAAGATTTCCTCTCCTTAATCCTCCCATTGAGCTCTCTGAGAACAGGCAAGAAGCAGCTTCCCAGGCTGCCGCTTCACCGAGACGAGCCGGCGGCGCCTCCTGCGCAGCGGCGTTTTCCCTCTTGCTGTTGGGAATCTTTTCATCAATTGCTCATTGAAGGAAAAACCTTCTTACAGTGACCACACGCATGGGAGTGCAGGGACCCTGCAACACGTTCTGCCCTTATAATTTAATGACCTCAAAAATGTCCCTAGCTCATTGATAAAATACACCGGGTGAGGAGGGATTGTGGCAAAGGGCCGAGGATGAAGCCTTTTAACAGTTTCTAAGTGTTTTTTTTCTGGATAAAATTTTGAAGGTGTTTGGTCTTTGAAGCAGCAGCATTAACTCCGAATGGACCTCTGAGTACTTAGTGGCGAACAGTAATTGCAAGCAGAGGAACCCGGTACATCAACCGCTGTTACATGAAACAAGCATCCTAAATACGTAGTAAAAAGCCAAATTGCTGTGATTACTGCTCAAAGGTGATTGGTAAAGATTGCCTTTCTGTAGGACCTATCACCTGAGAAACTTGCTGCTGCCTCCATGCAATATATGTCGAAGTGTGATTGATTCTGATATTCTGTGCTAAGAGATACTACGGTACTTTGTAATTCACCTGCCATTATCATCCCAGCAAAGAACGTGCCGCTCCTGAGGGGCTGGCAGCCCCAGCTGGAAGGAAAACGGGAGCCTGGCCTGGATCTGCACATCCTAGAGAGCCCCCGCAGGGTCTTTTATTGGGAGGAAAGGCAACACCAAACCTCACAGTTCTTTGGAAGGGGCTCTGAGAGCACGTGTGTCCTTAAAACAGCTTTTTAATGCCCCTCTCAGTGCGTCTCTGCAGTAAATGAGCGTTGGTTCCTGCAGGGACCCTGAGGATAGAGAGCGCAGGGCGAGGGGCCGTGCAGGCCGGGTGCCCATGCGGCACCTCCTCCGTCTGTTCAGTTTGGGCTGGTGTGTGAGTCAGACGTGAACCCAGAGGGTGCAGAATACCTGACATTTCCATTAGTCTGAACAGCAGAAACCCTTTTCCGTGAAAATGGGATCTGGTTTTGTGCTAGGACTGTCTTATTAATGTAGCTTGGGAAAATGTAATGAAGGTTTTCAGGGTTTTGCTCTTAAATTTTGATTCCTTTCAGAGGAGGACAAAAATATGAATATTGAAAAGAACTTGAACTCTTAATTATTGATAATTTCTAAGTCAAGTCTCATGATTTGACATTTTGACAAAATGGATAAAGATTTTGTCTCATCTTTTACACTGCGCTGCTCTCCTTCCTCCTTTGCCTTCAAATGCGGATCCTTCAATTCCCTAAGGTTTCTTGGGTACTGAGAGATGCAGGAGGGTGGATACTTATATTTGCAACTGGCTGGGCCTCTCCTGTGTTGTAGATGTAGTCACTCATCCCAAAACGCCACACGTGCTTTTTAAATCAGCCCATAGACCTGTGAGAGACGTTGTGTGCAGGCTGTGAACCTCACTGACGTTCGCTCGGTGATCAGGATTGCAATTTGGGCCTTTGGGACCTTAGCAAGCTCGTTTGTAGGTCCGTATTTATCTCGCGCGTCGCAAGACCAAACCTTAGTTAACATTGCTTTGTTTTTTTTTGTAATCGCGCAGATCATCGCGTACCAGCCCTACGGGAAGTCGGTGGATTGGTGGGCGTACGGAGTGCTGCTCTACGAGATGCTGGCTGGCCAGGTAGGAGCCGTGGAGCTGCGTGCTCCTCACCTTGCCCGTTCCCCCAGGCATCCAGTACCAGCTGCTTCTGCTCCTTTCCAAGGCCACCGATGGCCTCCTGCCCTTCACCGTGCCTTGCCCCGTGCTGAGGATGGCCCCTGTCCCCTGGTTCGCACGTGCAGCGTGTTGGGGGTGCCCAGGGGCACCGCAGAGCTCCCGGGCGCTCTCTCCTGCAGCCGCCGCTGCTGCGATGGCCACAGGAGGGTTGCTGAAGCCTCGGAGCCTGTGGCCTCTCCTGCCAGCATCATCTCTGGGCATCTTGCCAGTCTCTGCCTCCTCTGAGTGTATTTAGGCTCTTCACAGGCACCCACCCAAGCAGGCACTGCCTTCGAGGGGGGTTTCTTTGTCCTGAAATGATGTTAGGAATAGCCATCATCAACCCTGAATGGGAGGCACTTGAATGGGAAAATGCATGTCAGATGGAAAGAGTAGCATTCTGTTGTGTGAAACCACAGGGTAGAAAAATACTGTTTATATGCTCTGCTTTGCAGTTAAATCACAAAAATAGGCTTTTTGCATTGTGTGTCCTAGGGGTAAAGTATGAGTCTCCCCACGAGAAATACACTTAGTTACAGACCCCTTTTTCTGCATGGTTGAGACGCTGCTCTCTTAGTCACTGAAATAGAAAAGCAACTCGGTATTGCACTAAATGGAAGATAAAAAGCAACTTAAAGGAATTCAATTACTGTCCTGAATTGCAGAAAGTTTATGCAAGTGACTTTCAGTGAATTTACCAAGTGCCATTGTAAGGACAGAAGTGGGCTTATTAAAAAATAATAATAATTAACCCGCAATTTATTTTTAACAGCCTCCATTTGATGGAGAAGATGAAGATGAACTTTTCCAGTCCATAATGGAGCATAATGTCTCCTATCCAAAATCACTCTCCAAAGAAGCCGTCTCCATCTGCAAGGGGGTGAGAAAGATATTTTTCATCACAAGGTTTCTTTTCGGCAGTCTTTTTGGCAAAACATGTCAGACGTAATATTTCTAAGCACAACTCCTGTCGGGCTGCATTAAGCTATAGTGTGTTATGGCTGTCATTGCTTGGTGTCACGGATGAGTTTTCAACTGTTCCTCTTTAGGGTCAAATCTGAGATCCGGCACCTTTGAGGTCTGCTTTAAATTAACAGGTTAACTCGGGGCTTCAGTTGTCAGTGGACCTGGGCTGTGCCGGGCTGGGCTCTGGGCTCTGAAGCCGGGAGCCGGTGGCAAGCTGGGGACGGGGACATCGCGTTCCAACAGTTAATGCAGCTGGAATCGTTATCCCAGTTTTCTGGGATTGCCTGCTGTCAAAGCAAGGGTTTTCGACAAGTTAGCAAAAATAACCAGAGCTGTTATCGAATCAAAGACTGATGTGGTCCTGTCACAGAGCACAGTCTGCTTCCTGCAGGCTGCCTCCATCTTTTATATTTTAGCTTTGGACTTGGAATGGGATCAAATGAACATTTGGATGGAGGCTAAGAGACTAAAACTGAGGTTTTAAAAGGATGTGTTAAGGTATAGCTCCTAACAACATATTAATCTTATATAACATGCAAAAGAGCTTTAAAAAGTCCCCACCATCCTGGCACTGAGCACTGAAGGCTGCATTGCTCAGTTCCTAATGCTTGTATTAATTGACAGGCAATACTCTGAGGGGCCTGTTAATTAGCACATAACTGCTTCAAAGTGTGCAATGCGGTTGCTTTTTGTTTTTTCTTTTATCCAAGTGTGCTTTATCTCTGCAGCTGGGTTTAGTACTGCTCGTGATGGCATTAAGGATGCAAGAGAGGAAACACAGATTAGATATTGTCAGCTGGGTGCCAAGAAATTGTAGGCTCTGTAATGAGATGTCCTGAACATGCCCAGAAAGATTAAAGGAAAGTTGTACTTCATACGACTTTATATAATGGAATTTATTAAGTTTAATTGCTTGTCGAGGCAGGGCAGAAGCTGTTCTGGAGATGTGCAGGGCCAAACGGAGGGAGCAGAGGTTAAATGTGGGAGCAGGTCCGCGGCAGCCGGGACGAGCCCCGCGCACGCGGTGCCAGACGTTGCCTAAGGAGGAAACTTCCACGGTGCAGCCTCTGCTGCTGACATGCAGCCATCAAAAGATAAAAGTAGTCTTCAAAAAAAGAATTAGCTTTTCATAACAATTTTATTACCAATTTGCATCTCAAGGAGAGAAGCAGTAGCTGCGATCTGTAGCAGGATCTGTCACGCTGTCGCTCCCGTGTCACATTCGCTCGTTTGGTGTTTTCTTCCTTGACAGCTAATGACTAAACATCCCGCGAAACGCCTCGGCTGCGGCCTTGAAGGTGAAAGAGACATCAGAGAGCATGCTTTCTTCAGGAGAATTGACTGGGAAAAGCTGGAAAACAGAGAGATCCAGCCGCCTTTCAAGCCTAAAGTGGTGAGTGAGGTGCAAAATGCTTCCCTGGCTCCGTGTGTCATCCACACTCCTGCTTTTCCATGGGGTTTGATTAAGCTGGCTTGGTGCTGCTGCAGATCCAGGACGCTTCTAAAATTAGACATTTTGGTTACAACAGGTCAATCTGTAAATTCGTTGATGCTTTTGCAACATGTAGCATCCTGATGCAGGTTAGCTTGCTCCTTGTCTCACTGTGTTGCGCCTCCTGACCGGACATGGACGCGGTGCAGGGTAGGGTTCCTCCTCGTTGGACTGCACTGCACAAGGCTTTTGCATTTCCCCTCTGAGAAAGAAAGAGCTCAAATCTGCTGACTTTGCAGGATGCAGCCCTGTGCCACGTGCTCTAGGTGACCCTGCATGTGCAGGGGTTGGACTAGATGACCTCGAGAGGTCCCTTCCAACCTTCAGCATTCTGTGATTCTGTGAATAATACAGATTTTTCCCTCCATCCATTTTCAAAGAAAAGATACAAACAATTTCCTGTAGTGACACATGGCACCTCCCGCAATTCAATCATCTCATTTGTTTTTAATGTTTATTACTGTTTCCCATATTTGTATCCACAGGAATATTTTAGAAATCCAAACAAGTGAAAAGATGCCCTTACTGCAAGAACGGTTGTGTAATATAATTTGAAGATAATGCAGAGTTTCTTTCAGTATGTGCCATACTTTATGGACATGAAAAGAAAAAATATTTGGATACAAGAATAAAAGCTTTTCATTACATGCTTTTTATGGCAAAATTAAAGCTGATATTAAGGCACATCTACTTTCTCAGCTGTAAATTTTATTATTTAAGGAGCTGAGTGCTAAAAAGTATCATCAGCACAGAGGTGCTAAAAGCTCGAAATAGAGCTTGCATCCATCACGACACCTTGTTGCACATTATGGGCCCTGTGCAGAACAGCTGCGCTGTTGATCATGACTTGCTTTATTTTATAGAGACTGCTAATAAAATGTACTGAGGGAGTCCAGGCATTCACATGAAGCCTGATTTTCTCAAACGTCATTTAAAATCCAAGCCTGATATTTTCATACCCTTTGTATAACTGGCTTAGCAACATGCTGTGATTGCTTTTTGCTTTCTAAAATCAATATAAATAGAATCAGCACAAGAACCACAATCCGTTTATAGAGGTGGACATAGTTACGAGGTTTGTTTTGTTTTATTTCAAAAAACTTTGCTAGGGGCAACTGGTCAGGGAATTGCATTGCCACGGGAATAAGCCTTAAGCCCCTGTGGATTCAAGTGTTAGATATCTAAATACCTTAACTTTCACCTAGGTTAACTTGCTCAAATGCTTTATTGCTCTTAGGAGCATATAAACATGTTAAATATGGAAAATTTTACCAAAAGTTCCCTTCTGTGGCATACAGCCAATATTGTGGGGTATCTTACATGCTATAAAGAGCAGTTAAATAATTCGTTTCAGATTTTTAGTGTGGAAATCATAGAATCACAGAATGGTTAAGGCTGGAAGGGACCTCTAGGGATCATCTAGTCCAACCCCTGCACACGCAGGGTCACCTAGAGCACGTGGCACAGGACTGCGTCCAAGCGGGTTTGAAGATCTCCAGAGAAGGAGACTCCACAACCTCTCTGGGCAGCCTGTTCCAGTGCTCTGGCACCCTCACTGTTAAGAAATGTTTCCTTAAGTTCCTGTGGAACTTTTGGTGCTTCAATTTCTGGCCATTTTCTCTAGTTCTATCAGTGGCCACCACTGAAAAGAGACCAAATACTTGTAAAACTGTATTTACAGTTACAAAGTTGGATAGTTTAGCTAAGGATGGTGTTTGGCCTTAGACTATGCAGTTACACAGTGCAGTATTTGGCTTGATATAGAAGGTATAGAAAGTCCATAGAAGTAAATACCCTGTATCGGCCAAGCAGCATCATGCTAATAAGGATGTTACACATTAAAGTATAAATAAACTAAGGAATTTGCATGCAGTTTCCTTAAAAGCTCACAGTCTGAGACACTTTCCACAATAAATAAAGCACAAATGTCCTATAAAAACCTGTTCCCTTCCAGACTGACATTTCACAGGCTACAGCCCTCGACTCCTACCTTGGTGAAAAGGTCATTTTACTCACATTTGTAAATACAAGAGTTGTAAGTGTCACATATTTTCAGTTCTGCTTTCATATTGTGTTAACACTCACAATAACAATGTTAAAATGAAGAAAAATACATACTTGAAAATGCAAAATTATTCATAAATGATTACATTCAAATGAAAAATTCCTATATTTCACATGAGCTTTTTTTTCAGTTCTACTGCTATAAGCAATAGTGGGATCTAATGGGGTCAGGAACTATGGGTTTAATATAGCTCGTTTGATGATCTTCCACTTGTTGAGAAAATCAGCCTGGCCATAACTTTATGGAAGCAGGAGACATGTTTGTAAAACATCTTTTTAGTAAAAAATCTTCCCAGTAAAAATACCCCTTTTGTTGCCACTTTCAATTGGCTGTGTTACCTCTAAACAAATTTGACTGTTAATTTGGAGATGCATCAACTTTCAAACAATGCAGAGTTTTACCCCATCTCAAAGTTCAACTGTGTCCGTTCTTGTTCTCCAGAGGTTCGGTACCAAAATGCATTGGCTTCAGTGGGCCGCAAGGTATTCGGTGAGCACCTGGGTGACCACAGCAAACTAACATTCGTCCTTAACCCGTTGCAGTGTCCCTCTGCCTGCCGGTTTATTTGGCCTTTTGTGAGCGCTGCGGTCTGGGCCTGAGCATGCGGTTTTCAGCTGCAGTAAAAAACAACAACTTGTGCCCAAGGCAGCAAGAGCTCCCATGGGATAGGATGGGATAGGATGGGATGGCATGTCCAGGTGCAAAAGCCCTGGGCATTTTAACTGAGCTGCTTTAAGACTGCATATGAGCTACGCACATCTCTTGATTTCCCTTAATTGAATTCCCTTAAGAGCCCCTACGTTAATGTTAGGGCAGTATAGTTAAAGTTTATAGATTAACAGGAGTTGTGTAGAGTTATGCAGTGAAGAATCAAAGCATATAAATGAATTTGGTCAAGCTTTCTGCAGTTTGTGAAGGATCACAAGTTAACCCAAAACGTTAATTTTGCAATGTAAAGGTTTTAAGGCAAATCAAGCACTCTGACAGGTAAAGTCTCTCTTGCCAACACACGTCCATAAAGCCATTGTCTCAGTTCTCTATCTCAGTAGTTCTGGATATCTCAGCCCTTCGCCTTCTCACTTCATATTGATGGATGCAAAATATTGCAATTCTTTACATCAGAATTCATGTATTAGAATTTCTGTATTTGCTTGATTTTTTTTTGATAAAAAACTCAGAAAATAAAATCATATCTTAACTACTTCTAAAAAGTGTGGGAAAATCCTATAATTATGCTGAGGAATTTGTAGAAAGGTCAAACTGCTGCTGTACTGCTGCTGCTGTTCAGCCTTTCTTTTTTCTTGCTTCTTTCTTGCAGTGTGGCAAAGGTGCTGAGAACTTCGATAAATTCTTCACGCGAGGACAGCCAGTGTTAACCCCTCCGGATCAGCTGGTCATTGCTAACATAGACCAAACGGATTTCGAAGGATTCTCTTATGTCAACCCCCAGTTTGTACACCCCCTTTTACAAAATGTAGCATGAAACAGCAAAATAGGAACAAATCGCACAATGGGAACGGTCCTGAACCCTAGAATTTTTAGGCCTTTACCTTGTTGATTCCTTTTGGGCCTGAAAATTGTGGGGTCAGGAAGCTTAAGGTGGGGGAAAGGCCACTAATTCAGGATGTTGGCTTTGCAACTGAGATGTTACATTAATGGAAGATTAAGAAGTATACAGTGCCCATTTATTCTGCTACAAGTCACCACTGACTCATCTAAAGTTTACCCTTTTTTGGTATGTTATATGTTTTTGTAACTTCCACTATCCTTCTGCTCCCTTTTCCACTCTACTATGTTAGAAATATAACATTGATCTAAAAAAAAAAAAAAAAAACTTGAATATTTAATCCTTAAACGCGGATGCCGTGATATAGGAGCAGGGGACCCAAGGGAGCCTCTCCCTCCTCCTCATCCCGGGACTTCAAGAGAACAAGAGCACAAGTGACCACAGGGCAAGGGAGGCCTCCCAGGGGAGGAGAGGGCAATGGGGAAAATGCTTGGAAATTGTTGCTGAAAAAAGAGGGGAGGAACAAGCTGGTAGGGGGAGCTGGCAGTGACAGGGGGTAAAATGCAAGTAGCCCCTGCGGCAACACCGAATCCTGTAAGCAACACCAAATTTAAACCATCTTCAGCAGTGGCCACATCGCTAGGATCTTTGCTAAGTAGCATGTGATAAACTCAAGGGCGAAATTTTGTCTTTAATAATAATAATAATTATAATAATATTTTTGTGAATTTTAATCTCCGTGAGATTATTCTGTGATCCAGGGTGCCATTGTTTGTTCAGTTAATTTAATTTTCATCACTCCTCAAGTTTACTGTTAACCAGTTCTACTAATACCAATATTTTGCTCTGAAATTTGCTAACCTGGAATGTAAAACAAAATTGTAAATCCTTAAATCTTATTTACTTGGTTTTATTTATAGACTGCAGTATAGGGCAGTAAATGAAACAAGGCATTATATATAGCAAAATAACAAAAAAACGCAGCCCCAGATGACTTCCTGATTTCTCCAGAATAACTTCTGAAAATTGGGTGAGAATTAGTCTTAATCAATTTTAATTTAGAACACTTGGGGCTGTTGAATAATGAAGCCTGAAAGAAGAAGCACCTAACAATTGTTTTATTGATAGAAGGGAATTTAATGCATTTTACATATGCTTCATGCAATGAATTTTGCATGTTTAGTAATAACTCTTAATAATAAGGGTTAATAATAAGCAAATCTATATTATTGACATAATCGTATCAAGCATAAAGAGTATTATAAAGTTTTATAAAACAAATTGTGCTTTATTTGTGAAAGTTCTTGTTCAATGATACTACGATTTAGGTTTAGCTAAATGTTTTATTGCTGTTGTTCTGTTTTTTATTTTAGATTTTGAATATTGTTAATGGCTTATGGTATAATCTGTTTTGTTTTGTTTTTTTTTAATGTTGATCTACTTTTAAACAATAATTGCTACCTGCAGGTTTTATACAAGCTCCAATTAGGCTCTCATTTCACACCTGCTTATTGCTTACAGAGAAGGAGCGAGACATTATTTGCAATGGTGAACTCTGTAATCACTGCAGTCCTCTCCTATCACTTAGCTTTAAAAATTTGATACTTCCTCTTACAAATTACCAGAAGATATTAATTCAAATACCGGTGAATACTTTTGTGCACATTTTGGTTTTGTTACAGCATGTAAAATAGTAGTCAGTGCATTTTTTCCTTTTCTTTCCCTCTGCCTTGTTGATGTTGGCGGCCACGGGCACCTTTTGCCCGTCCGATGCATGGCGATGCCAGGAGCATGACGTCTCTGTTGCTGCATGCAGACTGATTACAATTTTTTCCAGCATGTAAACATACTCAAAGTAAGATATTTGCCATAAAAGACTTAAATTTATACTAGAAACTGTAACTGGGGGGGGAGGGAGGAGGGGCTACTTTCTAATCTTTTTTTATTTAATAAAACATCTAACCTGTGCCAAAGATGCTGTTAGAAGGCCCCGTCCTGCGAGCGGTCGCGGCGCAGGGGAGCTGCCGTGGGGCGAGCGCCGTTGTGGCCCCAGGGTGCCTGGCAGTGCTTTTGCCCGCAGAAACCGTGTTTTTGGTGCCCGGGAGCTGTGATTTGCAACACTCCGGATGTTTGGCTTCCACCCGGGGACAGTCCTGTGGCAGCCACGCTCTGCAAGGTCCTAGGAACAAGACCAGGCTGTTCCAAGGCATGAGAAAAATGCATTTGCTAACAAGGGGTGTTTACCAACAAACAAATGCTCAGATTGTTGCCTAAATAACTCAAAATATTAAAAAAAAATGAAGTAAAATTTTTAATAATTTCTGTGTCAAATATCACCCAGGTCTGGGAGCTAATTTTCTTGTTTGTATATTATATACCTTTAAAGTTGTGGGTATTCACCATAAAGCATGTGGACATGTACAGCATTTGATGACTTTTTACCTTTTTCTAAATATTACTAGCCTGCCATAGTTTAGGAGTGTCAGGGTATCATACTATAGAATAAAATAGATTCAAGAGGTTACGTAGGTGCAGATTTTTAATAGATAACTCAAGTTAGTAAGTAAATGTGCTGGGAGCAGGCACTTTCATGTGTTTTATGAATGTGAAGAGGAGACTTTTCCAAAGGAAAATACAGGGAGAAACAGCCAAGCACAGGTTTGGGAAGCAGGTGTGGGGTAGAGCCGACCCAGTAGGGCCTGGCAGGTGACATAAACCCCTCTGGTTTGATTATATGAATTGTAAAGCAAAGCCCAGTTTTAGGCTTGGCCCAAAGCCTGATGTTGAAGAGCTGCTCTGGCATCTGAACAGAACTGCTCGTTTTGTGGCCGCTTCTCACAACTAGTTTCTTGGGCACTTGTGCTTGTTCTGCAGGTTTTCTGAGGTCGAAGCAGGAATTGCTCTCAAAAGTTGATACCTCAAATTCCTGTGCTTGGATCTCTCATGTCTTCTGTAGGGGTGTGTAAGGCTTCCCAAAAGGTACTGTGAACTCATGGTCCTGTGCACAATGAGACAGCATCACGCAGGGCAAAGGGGGTTGAATATTTGCCTTCCTCCGGGACTAAGGCACCAGTTCCCATGCGACCACTGGCACCTGGACCAGTCCTTGAAAGAAAACTCACCGGTGGTTTGTTCATTGTGCAAAAATTGGTAGCAGCAAGTCAATCCTGAAGTATCCAGCAAGCATGTTCTTATTTTTTAAGACATAAGTTACTTACGTAAGATTTTTCACAGATCTGGCTTTCTAGAGAACATTTGTTAACAGAGAAGGAGGCATTAGAACTGCTTTTCTTTCGGTTACGTTCAATAGCAACAGTAATCTTAACACCCACGGTTTTACAGAGATTATTAAAAGTAAAATTGGGAATAATCTTGGGCTGAGGCTGCTGTGGAAGTTCGGGTATCCCACATGCCCTCCAGTGCAAAGTGCTTTCGGCTCATGAGAACCAAGCACCTGGCACATGCAGAGATGATGCTCAGAACTTTTGGGTGTCTTCAGTGCATTTGTACAAAGTGACTTGGGGGGAAACAAGCGCTCAGAAGATTTAAACGGGTTGCTAAAAGTTTAGGTTTATGTAGGATTTGAATTGTTTAGAAAAAGTTTTGTATTCATAAAGCAAACCTAAAATCTCATGGAATTAAACAGTGTTCTGGTTTCCTTCAAATTAAAAACAGCCCCCAACCCCTTCTCGATGCCGCTTTCCTTTTAAGCTACTTGCTGTGTTGTTTCTAAGATACAAGTGCTGTGTCAATTATTATTTGTTAGAAACTGCTTCACTTTGTAGAGAGAAATTTCTTCTGTTTCCCAGGCTGAAATAAAAGGAGGCTGCGTTACCAAGTGAGCTGTGCCACCAGGACCTTCTTTCCTTTCCTTTCTGCAGAGGACACGTACTTAAAACTTCCCTGCTTTTTCAGGGGTTAAATGAGACTTACCTGGTTCCTAAGCATGATGATTCCTTATCGGGACACGTGGGGAGCGTTTATCCCCGCGCGGCTGGGGAAGGAGCAGGGGTTGCTGTGCAGCCCGTGGCCAAGGAGCATGTTCCTGCAGTGAAATACTCCAACCTAACCCGATGTAGAGGAAAATTTAGTTTAGCTTCCTGATCCTTCATACTTTACCAGAGTAGAATGGAATTTCTTTTTACAATCTGAAGAGAGTTATTCCAGAAATCAGCTGTTAGTTTAAAAAAAAATCATAATTTGTAAAAGTTAGGACCTCTGCAGTCTGTCCTGTCTCTCAGGGTGGATTCAACTGCATAACACAGAGCTCTTGTAAAATTAATATGGGCAGGTGAGACAGGAACTTGTTTTCTAGCAGGAAAGCTTGTGTGTCCATGGTGCAGCCTTGAACTGCCCCGCTCCCAATATGTCTTTTCTGGCTCAGCGCATCTGGACACAATCCCAGTTAAAGGCAGTGAGCAGAGGAGGAAGATCCCCCTTATTCAACAAAATCACCTGAAAAAAGTGATAGGTCTTCGATACTCCTAAAGGGAATACTTAGAGTGTTGAGTTTACAGCAGGTTCTCTGGGCTGCCACCAACTCCTGGACACGTGTGACGTGATTTTGAGTTTAGTCATTAACATAAATTATTGTCCTTAGGTTTTTGTCACTTTATAGTCTGAGCGTCAGCTCTAGGAAATGTGATGCTTGTGGTGTTCCCTGGACAGACACCCACAAAGCAGTAAAAGTGTGAATCTAAAGCACTTCTTCCTCGGCTTCATGCTCTTAGGTGTGATCGGAAAGACTTAGGTGAAGAGGTAAATAAGAATCGACTCCATGAACATCTAGGATTTCCTACCAACCCGTAGCTGTGCCGGTAATGACTGCTAGTTAAATAGCCTTTAATGAGTAATCAGCATGAGCCAAAGCCCTCCTGTGCACAGGGAGGGCTGGAGCGAGGGAGGCTGCTCGGGCACAGCCTGGGACGGGGGCTCGGGTGCCAGCGGCGCCCTGGGCCGGTTCCTTAACCTCTCTGCCTCAGCTCCCCCATCTGTAAATGGGGTAATAACACTTACTCGCCTCACAGGGTATGTGGGGACTTCTTAATGTTTCTAATGCACTTTTAACCTGGAAAGTGTAAGTATTATTATAGTTTTTAGTATTAAATCAGCTTAATCAGCCTGCATGGTGTTGCTAGATATACCATGCTATTTCTACTTTTTTACATAACTTTAGGAATTCTACTGAAACCACTCAAAGGAAAAAAAAATAATAAAAAAACAGACCTGATCTGTTTCTTACAGAATCTGGAGTATTGCAGAAATATTCTTACAGAATCTGGAGCATCAGGTTAGATGCTCCTACCTTTTT